GACACTGTGGCTATGATGATACTGTGGGTATGATGATACTGTGGGTATGATGACACTGTGGGTATGATGATACTGTGGGTATGATGACACTGTGTATGATGATACTGTGGGTATGATGACACTGTGGCTATGATGATACTGTGGCTATGATGATACTGTGGGTATGATGATACTGTGGGTATGATGACACTGTGGCTATGATGATACTGTGGGTATGATGACACTGTGTGTATGATGATTCTGTGGCTATGATGATACTGTGGGTATGATGACACTGTGGGTATGATGATACTGTGGGTATGATGACACTGTGGCTATGATGATACTGTGGGTATGATGACACTGTGGGTATGATGATACTGTTGGTATGATGATACTGTGGGTATGATGAGACTGTGATGACACTGTGGGTATGATGAAACTGTGATGACTGTGGGTATGATGATACTGTGATGGCATTGTGGGTATGATGATATTGTGATGACACTGTGGGTATGATGATACTGTGGGTATGATGACACTGTGGGTATGATGACACTGTGGGTATGATGACACTGTGGGTATGATGATACTGTGGGTATGATGAGACTGTGATGACACTGTGGTATGATGATACTGTGATGACTGTGGGTATGATGATACTGTAGGTATGATGACACTGTGGGTATGATGATACTGTGATGACTCTGTGGGTATGATGATACTGTGGGTATGATGACACTGTGGGTATGATGATACTGTGATGACTCTGTGGGTATGATGATACTGTGATGACTCTGTGGGTATGATGATACTGTGGGTATGATGACACTGTGGGTATGGTGATACTGTGATGACTCTGTGGGTATGATGATACTGTGATGGCACTGTGGGTATGATGATATTGTGATGACACTGTGGGTATGATGACACTGTGGGTATGATGATACTGTGGGTATGATGAGACTGTGATGACACTGTGGGTATGATGATACTGTGATGACTGTGGGTATGATGATACTGTGATGAGTCTGTTGGTATGATGATACTGTGATGGCACTGTAGGTATGATGATATTGTGATGACACTGTGGGTATGATGATACTGTGGGTATGATGATACTGTGGGTATGATGACACTGTGGGTATGATGACACTGTGGGTATGATGACACTGTGGGTATGATGACACTGTGGGTATAATGCCACTGTGGGTATGATGACACTGTGGGTATAATGCCACTGAGGGTATGATGACACTGTAGGTATGATGATGCTGTAGGTATGATGATACTGTGATGACACTGAAAGAGATCTAACGTAGAAAGAGAACGCAGACGACACTATAAACGCAGGAAAAAAATAACGGAACTGCTTATGCAGACACGAATTTCCCGTCAAAGAAGGAATAATTTAAATAGGGAGATTGAAGAAATCGAGCGGAAATTGAAACACTCATATGAAACTGAAGAAAGGCAGTTAGAACAGAAAGCAATTCAGGAAATAAAGAAAAATCCAAAATATTTTTTCTCATATGCGAAATCAAAAGCAAAAACCACTGCCAGTATTGGACCTATTCGTACAAGTGAAGGTTCATACACGGAGGATGACAAAGAAATTAGTGAACTCCTAAAAAAGCAGTATGAGGACATGTTTAGCACTCCAATAAACAACATGAAGGTGGAAGATCCAGACATTTTCTTTATGCGGGATATTCAAACCCCGGTAAATATAACTGATATAAACACGAGCGCACTAAATTTTGAAAAAGAAATTGAAAACATGCCCATGCACTCGGCCCCAGGTCCAGACTCATGGAATTCAATATTTATAAAGAAATGCAAAGTGCCGGTAGCACAGGCACTCAGTATAGTGTGGAGGAAGAGCTTGGACACGGGGGAGATACCAGATGCACTTAAAGTAGCAGACATAGCCCCTCTACACAAGGGAGGGAGCAAAGCATTGGCAAAAAATTATAGACCAGTTGCACTAACATCGCACATCATAAAAGTATTTGAGAGAGTGATTAGGAGTCAGGTCACCAATTTCATGGAGACCAATGACCTTCATAACCCAGGCCAACATGGATTTCGAGCGGGAAGATCGTGCCTCTCACAGCTACTTGAGCACTACGACAAAGTCACTGAGGCATTAGAAGAGAAACAGAATGCTGATGTGATATACACGGACTTCGCAAAGGCCTTCGATAAATGTGACCATGGCGTGATAGCACACAAAATGAAGTCAATGGGAATAACCGGTAAAGTAGGACGCTGGATACTCAGTTTTCTGTCAAACAGGACTCAGCGAGTAACTGTCAACCATATAAAATCTAGTCCAAGTGCAGTGAAAAGCTCTGTACCTCAGGGTACAGTCCTTGCACCACTGCTTTTCCTTATTCTCATATCAGATATAGACAAAAATACAAGTCACAGCTTCGTATCATCCTTTGCAGATGACACAAAAATCAGTATGAAAATTACCTCGGCTGAGGACATTGAAAAACTTCAAGCTGATATTAATAAAGTTTTCGACTGGGCATCAGAAAATAACATGATGTTTAACAGTGATAAATTCCAGGTACTCAGGTACGGTAAAAATGAGGACCTTAAACATAATACAGAGTACAAAACACAATCAAATGTACCCATAGTAGGAAAACAGCATGTAAAGGATTTGGGAATAATAATGTCTGACGACCTAACGTTTAAGGAGCATAACCAAGCAAATATTGCGACAGCCAGAAAAATGATAGGATGGATTACGAGAACTTTCAAATCCAGGGATCCCATCACAATGGTTGTACTCTTCAAGGCACTTGTGTTGTCCCGTCTTGAGTACTGCTCAGTACTCACTTCCCCTTCAAAGCAGGAGAGATTGCTGAAATAGAGGGAATACAGAGAACATATACGGCACACATAGACGCAATAAAGCACCTAAATTATTGGGATCGTCTCAAAGCCCTCCAAATGTACTCACTAGAAAGAAGACGAGAGAGATATCAAATAATATACACCTGGAAGATACTGGAGGGCCAAGTACCAAATCTACACAGTAAAATAACAACGTACTGGAGTGAACGACATGGAAGAAAATGTAGAATAGAACCAATGAAGAGCAGAGGTGCCATAGGCACAATCAGAGAACACTGTATAAACATCAGAGGTCCGCGGTTGTTCAACGTCCTCCCAGCAAGCATAAGAAATATTGCCGGAACAACCGTGGACATTTTCAAGAGGAAACTAGATTTATTCCTCCAAGGAGTGCCCAACCGGGCTGTGGTGGGTATGTGGGCCTGCGGGCCGCTCCAAGCAACAGCCTGGTGGACCAAACTCTCACAAGTCGAGCCTGGCCTCGGGCCGGGCTTGGGGAGTAGACGAACTCCCAGAACCCCATCAACCAGGTAACCAGGTACCCCCCTCCCACCCCACAAGATAGGGAGGTGCATGTCAACTCTACTAAGTTATCAACTCTAAGTTATAAAACCAGATCACCACCCACGTTATTAAGCTGCTCAACTTGAAGAGACTCTCGCGGTCGCTCGCAGACCCATTGTCGATGGGCATTAAGGTGTGCAACTGGCATATCAAGACTGCATCTTGCTTTCTTAAAGGCATTTTGGGGAGTTCAGCTCCTGATGCCATTATGGGCCTGTGTAATGTTTAATAAATCATTGCCCGTAAATAATGAATAAAGTTAACTCTCTCTGTCTTCTTTCTATCTCTCTCTATGCCTCCTCTTTCTTATGTCTCTCTTAGTCATTCCCTCTGCTTCCTTCTATATCTGTCTCTCTCCGTCCTCTTCTCTTTTATCTCCGTTTTCTTCCATCCACTTCTCTCTCTTTTCTCTAAGTCCTCATTCCATCTTCACTTCTCTTTAACTTCTACGCTCTCTCCGTTATGTCTACCACTCTCTAACACTCATTATTTGATCTATCGCCCAAACTTCCGACATACTTTTATACATAACAATTCATGCTACGCGTGGACACGCACCTCAGCTCTGGCCTACGCCGCGTGTATCTGCAGGTAGCCAGCCAACGTCTCCAGTAGCTTGCTGTTCTTTTTAGCGTACAGGATAACAGAACTGTATGATCATACTTGATCATCACAGAACATCATACTTGTCAGTATGATGTCCCGTCCGAGCGTCCTCGGCCGTTGGTCACGTTGAACCCGCGTGCGTTCGTGTGTAGCAAATTGTTGCTACAGTACTTGTAACAGTACTGGTCTGCTACAGTACTGGTCTGCTACAGTACTTGTCTGGTACAGTACCAGTCTGCTACAGTACTTGAAGCAGATCAATGGAGATGACTGGAGTCGGAAGACTTACAGAGGCGATTGCATTTCCCACCTAATTATCTTGTGCTTGCTGGAGGGTTGAGCTTCGGCTCTTTGGTCCCTCCTCACCCCTTTCTCTCTCTCTCGATTGAATTAGTTATCATACTCACCCCCTCCCCCACCCTTAGCCATGCCTGAGGCCAGTGTGTGTGCGATGTTCACACTTTTGTTCAACACAGTTCGTGTTGTGTGTTAATATGTCGTATTATTTAGCCAAAGGATGTATTGGTGTTGAACACTAACATAAGTAGAGAGTTCATGAAGAACTCTTTGAGAGTTCTATAGAGTAAAAGCTCTATAAGAGCTTTATAAGAGCTTTATAAGAGCTTTATACCACTTCAAAGCTTCAAGTTGAATTTAGGGTGGTATTCCCACCATTAACTGGACATTGTCGCCCATAATGTTAGTTCTTTTATGATCAGATGTCATCAGTATTTTTTTTCTTTAATTTATAATCTTTATTTTAGATTTAGTTATTAAATGCATTTCTTATATTTTTGTTTACAAATCTTTATTTATTTGTAAAGATATTAGATATTTCATTGAGTGTGCACACGCGCACGCGCACACACACACACACACACACACACACACACACACACACACACACACACACACACACACACACACATTTATGCCAAAATCAAACATGTAGAGAGATAGGGGCATAATAAAATAAAGTATTCTATAAACTGCAGTTTTATTTTCATAAGTTACATACAACATTCTCACACAGTTTGACTTGTCACATCAACAACCTCCGTTGTCATGGCAGCCCTGAGGCCATAAACTTAAAGTACAAAATTGAGCAGTTAGAATGAGCACCATTAGGACTAATTAACAATACTATTAAGAGACCTGCATGGGTGACTTGGGTAAACCAACATTACGTTACGCCTAAGGAACATTAATGCTGAACGACCCCAGGAACCAACTCTCCGTCGCCTGCTTCTCCTGGACTACTCGTAAGGTAAGGCGAACACCTGGGACCTCCTGGGACCCCCTAGGACTCCTGGGACTGCTGGGACCCCTGCTGGGTGGGGTATGGACGCGCTGGTCAGCTTAGGGTGGGCGTTGATGTCATCTGACGTCATTTCTCTCAAGTTGTCGGCTGCTGCAGAGAGAGAGAGAGAATCTTCGCCCCGGTGGGAATGGAGAGGTCGTCCGTCGGGTAAACCTTAAGTCTACCTTCCAGACGCCTCCGCCGGATACCTGACGCTCGCGTAGACTAGCACATTACTCACTTCCAAGAAGGTCTAAGGTCAATATACGTAGTATTCTTCTGATGAGTCTGAGACCCCACTGAAGTAAGACGAGTCTGTGATGGAGATGATGGAGTTCTTCTTACCCCCGAGGAGCGACGCCTTCTCCGGGTCGTTCTGGGCCAAGCTCTCGTGGATCTTGGTGTAAAGGCCGCTGCTCACCTTCTTCTTGGTGCAGCACATGTGGATGCCGAACGACAGCGCGACGATCAGGTGCAGCGCCACCACGAATACCGTCGCCCAAGAGAAGCCAATCCAGTCGAACAATGCCCCAGCTGCTGATGGCCCGATGAAGGCCCCGAGGGCGAAGGTGGAGGTCCACAGCCCCGAGACGAGGCCATAGGTCTGAATGTCGTCGGGGAAGCCGTTGGCGACAGCATCTCGGTGGGCACTGGTGAAGGTGGCGACGAGTTCGGCGCCAAACCCGGTGCCATGGAGGACGAGCGCGATGATGCAGATTGGCAGCGTGGTGGGGATGGGCAGGAAGGGCGCCGGTCCTATCAGAATGAAGGAAGTGGTCACCACAAACGCCCCGAAGATGACCACGATCCTGGGGTTGATGCACTTGTCACACAGCCATCCCCACAGGGGCGCGAAGAGGCCGTAGGTGGCGCCGTTGAGCACGAACATCAGACCCATCTGGAATGGCGAGAGCTCCAGAGGGCGGAGGTGAGGCTCTAGTGTCGCCTGCAGGAAGCCAATACTGACGGAAGAAGCAATGATGGCGTAGGCAGCGAGGCCGATGGCAGGGATCTTCACCAACGACAGCATGTTGCCTTCCGAGGGCGCATCACCCTTGAACTCGGAACTGTAGGACGGCAGGATGCAGTAGGTCAGAGAAGCAGCCCCGAGCAGCATAATGCCGAGGGTGACGAAGGGCAAGGTGTAGCCCCCGAGTTCGAAGAGCGCGCCACCCAGAGTTGGCCCCACGATCATGCCCAGGCCGAAGCAGGTCTCCAGGGAGGCGAAGGTGGCACCCACGTTGTCCGGGAACTCCTTAGCGATGATGCTGAACGACGCTGTTAGGAAGCCAGAATTCCCCATGGCCTCCACGATTCTGATGGCGAACGACAGCCCAATGAAGGCAGTCGTGTTGTTGATTCGATCTAGAAATCCGAACATAATGCACGTTGAAGCCGTGGTGAAGATGCCGGCGTTGAACATGAACTTGGGCCCGATCCTGTTGAGGTAATTACCGTAGATGGGACTGACGATGAAGACTGTCAGCTCGAAGATGCCGAAGACGAAGCCATACTGAGTGGGCGTCGCGCCCTTCGACTCCGCCATCATCGGGTAGAAAGGCGCCTGTAGAGAGACGCAGACGGCGCTGCAGAAGTCGGCGATGGCAAAGACGATGAGGGTGAGCCATTGTTGACGTGTGTACTTGCCCATGTTGATGGCTGTGGTGAGGAGGAGTTGCTTATAATCTTGAACTGCAACTGAAGTTTCGAGAGCCTATAGTGCCTTGGGTGAGTGTTCTCGCCCACGTGGTGGTGGTGGTGGTGGTGGCAGGAGCGGGTGAACGGCCAGTGATGACTGAGAGACCAGCCAAGTACACCAGCACCGCTTAGGCTCCCGGGCTAACTGCTCGGTATCAGCCCGACCCGCTGAATATATACACTATCCTGCCCGGGGGATGGCGGAGGCCAGGATAGTCAATGACCCGACCCTAATTCCTAACTTCCCGTCATACAAAACCCCGAATGTTTTATTAATCAACGCGCATCTCTAATATGTACACATGAAATAATATTAAACCGACTTTCAACGAAAAATACAGAAATGAAAAGCATAAATGAATGGAGTGGATGAAGCCTCTGGCAGCCGCAGGAGGCGGTGACGCGGGCCGGGCAGAGCTACGCCCCTGGTAACAAGGTCTTATACCCCCGCCCGACGCCAGTCTGTCGTACTACGGCTGCACCACAGATCAACGCCGCGATTGTCAAAAGATTATCTCTCTCCCCCGATAGTTCTCGATCACACCAGTTACAGTCGACCATTTCCCCCCCCCCCCATACATGAGCACTGGGAGTCAGGCAGGCTGCTACACTCTCCAGGCCTATCTTGAGATAAGCTTAAGAAGATCTCAAGATAGGCCTGGTCAAATACTGTGTTACTTGGTGATCAGGATTTCCTGGTATGAGGCACTTGGTGTGTGAGTGACTCTGTTGGTCACTATAGATTGGTATTACACTATACACCGTCTACAATACCACACAACCAAACTATACATATAATACACACACACACTCTTGGACCTAAGCGGAGTCCAAGAGCTAGAGCTCGATCCTGCATGCGTGTGTGTGTACTGCATGTGAGTACACACACACAACTACGTGAATACACACAGTGATGTGTGTGTGTGTGTGTGTGTGTGTGTGTGTGTGTGTGTGTGTGTGTGTGTGTGTGTGTGTGTGTGTGTGTGTGTGTGTGTGTGATCTAAGGTACACATCACACAGTGATGTGGTGGAGGCTGACTCCATACACAGTTTCAAGTGTAGATATGATAGAGCCCAGTAGGCTCAGGAATCTGTACACCAGTAGATTGACAGTTGAGAGGCGGGTCCAAAAGGCCAGAGTGCAACCCCCGCAAGCACAACTAGGTGAGTACAACTAGGTGAGTACACACACAACATATGTCAGACCAATACTGAAACACGCAGCACCGGCAAGGAATCCGCACCTTGAGAAGCATAAAACCAAAACTGAAGACAGTACAGAGGTTAGCAACAAGATTGGTGCTAGAGCTAAGAGGGTTAAGCTATGAGGGCACGCTAATGGCACTAAATCTCACAACCCAAATGTATAGAAGAAATGGAGAAGACGTGATCACGACATATAAAATATTGAGAGGAATAGATAAGGCGGGGACAAGGACAGCCTCTTCAGAGAGAAAAGCAGGACAAGAAGTTATCTTGAGCTAATTTCGGGGCCTTTTAGTGTCCCTGCGGCCGGGTGCTCGACCAGGCCTCCACCCCCAGGAAGACAGGGGCATAGGGTGAAAGAAACTCTGCCCATTGTTTCTCGCCGGCGCCTGGGATCGAACCCAGGACCACAGGATGACAAGTCCAGCGTGCTGTCCGCTCGGCCGACCGGCTCCCTCACAAGAAGACACAGGTAGAAGCTAGGAAAGCAGTGGAAGGAATGTAAGGAAGTACTTGTACCCTGTACGGGAGGTCATCAACAAGTGGACTGGAATGCCACCTTCCTTCACAAGTTCAGGGTTAGAGCCGACAAAGAATTTCTGCCGTGGGAATAGTTCAGTTGTGAGGAGACAGGTACCACAAGGCTGGTGGGCGGGAGGCGAAGGGCTGCTGTACAAGAGCTCAGCCCGCCCCCGTACACACTGTTGAGTCAGTACTCCTGATATCTCCCGGGTCGTACATGATACAATGTTTACCAAGTGTGGCAGATCACGTGAGTAAGGACGCCTCCCTCCACACACACACCTGCCTCCCGTAACATGTGTGCCTTGTACAGCTGAGCACAGAGGTCTCATATATATATATGCATGCCCGGAACATGTGTGCGGCAGTACAGCTGAGGAAGGAGGCCCCCCCACACACATGCCCGCATCAAAACACACATACATACACACACTCACACACACAAACGCAGACACACTCACACACAGACCAAAGTAAATTGGTCAGAGACAGAGACCAAAGAGCCAAAGTTCAACCCCTGCAAGCACAACTAAGCACACACACACACAGGCCAAGACCATCAGTAGTTTCAAAGCGTTATATGACAAAGAGTGTTGGGAAGACGGGACACCACAAGCGTAGCTCTAATCCTGTAACTACACTTTGGTAATTACACACACGGAACAAGCCAATATACCCTGCTTGATATCTGCTTGATGGGGTTCTGGGAGCTCTTCTACTCCCCAAGCCCGGCCCGAGGCCAGGCTTGACTTGTGAGAGTTTGGTCCACCAGGCTGTTGCTTGGAGCGGTCCGCAGGCCCACATACCCACCACAGCCCGGTTGGTCCGGCACTTCTCTTAGAAAACAGTCCAGTTTTCTCTTGAAGATGTCCACGGTTGGTCCGACACATACAGATGAGCACCGCGACGCCAAACACACTCACAAAACACACTATGTTTCCTTTGATCAAATCTCCACCAAACTGTCTGTGGCAGAACACTTACCATACAACAACACTCTCGGCTGACCAAGTTGTAACCCCTCCACCCCCCCCCCCCCCATGACACTTGGCGGCACACATTTCTTATACAAAAAGTAAACTATTTTATTTCTGTTTGTATTAAAATCATCACAATAATCGTCGCTGATTATTGAGTCTCGTTCAGATATATTTTGTGTTGTGGTCTGTGTCTTATTGAAACGTCTTTGTTTTATCTTAATGGTTGAACCCGACGTCCTGTGTGTGTGTGTGTGTGTGTGTGTGCGTGTGTGTGTGTGTGTGTGTGTGTGTGTGTGTGTGCGTGTGTGTGTGTGTGTGTGTGTACTCACCTAGTTGTGCTTGCGGGGGTTGAGCTCTGGCTCTTTGGTCCCGCCTCTCAACTGTCAATCAACAGGTGTACAGGTTCCTGAGCCTATTGGGCTCTATCATATCTACACTTGAAACTGTGTATGGAGTCAGCCTCCACCACATCGCTTCCTAATGCATTCCATTTGTCAACCACTCTGACACTAAAAAAGTTCTTTCTAATATCTCTGTGGCGCATTTGGGCACTCAGTTTCCACCTGTGTCCCCTTGTGAGTGTGCCCCTTGTGTTAAATAGCCTGTCTCTATCTACCCTATCAATTCCCTTGAGAATCTTGAATGTGGTGATCATGTCCCTCCTAACTCTTCTGTCTTCCAGCGAAGTGAGGTTTAATTCCCGTAGTCTCTCCTCGTAGCTCATACCTCTAAGCTCGGGTACTAGTCTGGTGGCAAACCTTTGAACCTTTTCCAGTTTGGTCTTATCCTTGACTAGATATGGACTCCATGCTGGAGCCACATACTCCAGGATTGGCCTGACATATGTGGTATACAAAGTTCTGAATGATTCTTTACACAAGTTTCTGAATGCCGTTCTTATGTTGGCCAGCTTGGCATATGCCGCTGATGTTATCCTCTTGATATGGGCTGCAGGGGACAGGTCTGGCGTGATGTCAACCCCCCAAGTCTTTTTCTCTCTCTGACTCTTGAAGAATTTCATCTCCCAGATGACGCCCATCTTCATTACATTACATTTGCTTGGGTTAAACTCAAACAACCATTTGTTCGACCATTCCTTCAGCTTGTCCAGGTCTTCTTGAAGCCTCAAGCTGTCCTCCTCTGTCTTAATCCTTCTCATAATTTTGGTGTCGTCAGCAAACATTGAGAGAAATGAATCTTATGTCCTCGGGAGATCATTTACATATATCAAACAAGATAAGACCGTGTACAGAGCCCTGCATGCGTGTGTGTGTGTGTGTGTGTGTGTGTGTGTGTGTGTGTGTGTGTGTGTGTGTAGGGGGTGCGTGAGAACACGTGTACGTCTGGCGGGCGCGCGCACATACAATGGCGTCTTTCAGGTCAGGAGGAGCGGCCTTGGAAGGCGTGAGGGGACACTTTACAGAGGTCAAACATCACAAACCTGCTCCCTTGTGGACACACACACACACACACACACACACACACACACACACACACACACACACACACACAAGTGTGTGTGGAAGTGATGTGGTGGAGGCTGACTCCATACACAGTTTCAAGTGTAGATATGATAGAGCCCGATAGGCTCAGGAATCTGTACACCTGTTGATTGACGGTTGAGAGGCGGGACCAAAGAGCCAGAGCTCAACCCCCGCAAACACAATTAGGTGAGAACTAGGTGAGTACACACACACACACACACACACACACACAGACACACACACACACACACACACACACACACACACACACACACACACACACACACATCCTGTACTTGAGATCATTAAAGCCTCCTGCATCGAGTCACTTTTTCGAAATTAAAAAATATATATATTTGACCGCTTCGTAGCCTAAATTATTACATCATTTGCTTTACAGGAAAGTTCCTGTACAGCATTTGTATGTTTCCTGTAGAAATCTGTCCATTCTAAGTATTCTGTTGAATTTTTTTAGTTGCAAGAAAATCTTGCAATAGTGGTGACCTTCCAACTTTTATATCTTTTGTAATTTTGTTTGTTTTGATGTGAAAACATAAAACAATTAGATGAACTAAATGCAAGTCATTGGAAAGTATTTGCAAAGTTAAATACATTTCAAAATTATATTGTTGAAGATTTGGCAGGAAAAATTTCAATCTAAAAAACACTAACTTCTGACAATTTTATTTTCCACTGCAGTTTGTTAGTTTTCACCTCATGTTGAGAAAATGTTTACACAATACACAAGGCTTTACAATGACATTTTCTTTATTATTGGTTAAAAAGATATACTTTTTTGGGTAAAATAAAATCGAAACACCAGAGTAATGATTCATTAGAAATGACTCGGCAGTAAAATTTGTAAATCTGAAAGGACTGAAAAAAACTTATTTAAAATACTTTTTATTACTGTTTATATTTTTATAAGAAATGGTTATTTCTTATAAATTCATTTCATGTCTTCTGACAGAC